GATGAATCAATTCAAAACATGGTCTTACAACCCCACACTTAAGAGTTCACTACATGATGTTCAACCATTTTGAGGCTACTCAGACTTCACCTATTTATTTTTGCATGCGAATAAAACAATGGCAAAATAGTGTTTACCACAATTGCTATGAATATAGCTACTGTTTAGCCTGCCTAAACTTGTGATTTGGAGTGTTGCAATGCAATATAGCATTAGTCATTACAATCCCGGAGAGTAGAACTCCATTTGGGCCAAGAATGTCTTTGAGTCATTTCGACAAACACTTAGCGTACACTAGAGTTGTCAAATTGGTTGTAGATATAAGGGATTGCCTCACCCTCCCCAAATCGGCTTGGGGATTTCATATTATCACCCTTGTACACAACAACAATACCAATCCTATGGGGGTTATGGGATTAGGGCGAGCAAGCACATTGTTGCTTTGAAGATATACACAAAAATGGTGGAATTGCATTTCTTTAACTAAATTTGAATTTTTGATAGAGGAGAGAGTTAGAAATATACCTTAGATGCTTAGAAGGATTGAAGTGTTCTTCAATTGATGTCCCAAGTGATTGAAAGAGATGATGAGCAAAGGTCTTCAATGAAATTTGTGTGTGAGGGAAAGGGGAAAAAAAGGGACGGGCAGTGCATTGTGTTTAGTGAGGTGTGTGTGTTTGTGTAGTGTTTTAATATAAAGAAGTTAGTAAACAAAGCTTATAAAAATTAGAAGGGAAAAGGGACGGGCAGTGAGGTGTGGCTAATAGAAAAAAAAGTAGTGTTAAGTTAGGTGTGTGTGTTTGTATAGTTGTTCAATAGAAGGAAGTAAGAAAACAAAGCTTAAAAAAAATTAGAAGGGAAAAGGGACGGGCAGTGAGGTGTGGGTAATAGAAAAAGGTGTAGTGTTAAGTTAGGTGTGTATGTTTGTATAGTTGTTTAATAGAAGGAAGTTAGAAAACATTACCTAGTGACGCGAGCTCCCAGCGAGAAATTTACCTGGCGAAGCGAGCTCTATAACGAGATGAGAGGCAGGCGAAGCGATGTCCATAGCGAACCGGTGGTATGGCTGGGCGAGGTCTGATGCGTGGTATTGCAAAAGCAAAGAAAACTTACCTCGCAATAACCCGCACGACGCGAGGCTAATGCGATATCTCACTGGGCAAGCTCCCAAGCGAGCACTGGACAGTAGGATGTGAGGTTCATGGCTATCTCTGAAGCTGAGTTTTACAGCGAAAATGGGGGATGGCCAGTGAAACCAATAGTGAGCAAGAAACATGGTTGGAGAGGATTTCAACGAGCAAAGGACCATGCGAGGCTATCTCTAACGCAAGCTAAGAACTTGGCGACGTGAGCTCCTAGCGAGAAACTTACCTGGCGAGGCGAGCTCCTTAGCGAGCGGCGGAGCATGCGACGCGAGGCATAACACGAGGTTCTTTCCTGGCGTTGTGAGGTCTGCTGCCAGGTTTTTCTTGCTGCATCCTGCGTGAGGCGAGGCTAACGCCAGGTTTTGCTAGATGTATCCCTTGCGACGCGATGTTAAACGCGAGGTAATTACCTGGTGGCGCGAGCTGGAAAGCACGCTGAGCAGCAGGCGGTGTAAGTTGTGTCGCGACGTAAAGCTTCCAGATGCGTTATGCATTAAACTGGGTGACGCGAGGTACACAACATTGTTTGGAGCGTACACATGTAATTTTTATTTCGTTTTGTGAACGACTCCAAGTGCCATGACTTTCCATCGTGCTCCATTACCTGTTCAGACACCAAGATTTAGCTAAAAACTTGTTTGTGCATAAAACAAACGAAAATTTATAGTTAAGCTTAATAAACTACGAATTGGGTTGCCTCCCAATAAGCGCCTGATTTAATGTCGCGGCACGACACATGCGATCAAACTTAAGGTTCAATCAACAATTGAGGCTCCTTCAAATGAATCACCGATACAACGTTTTCCTCCTCCATGCCAAGGTAATGTTTCAACCTTTGCCCATTAATGCTAAACTTGTTCGTTCTATCCTCGGATTCAATTTCTACAGCTCCACTTGAGAGTACTTGCACCACTCTAAATGGCCCCGACCATCTCGATTTCAGCTTACCCTTCAATCTTTAATTATACAATAACACGACATCTCCGGGTTTGAAAATCCTCTCTTGAATATGCTTGTCGTGCATGATCTTCATCCTTTCCTTGTACAGCCTGATGCTTTCAAAAGCATGGTAACGGAACTCATTGAGTTCATGAAGTTCTATGACTCTACTCGTACCGGTGGCCTCCATGTCAAGATTTAATTGCCTTAATGCCCAAAAGGCTCTATGCTCTAGCTCTATCGATAAGTGACACGCCTTTCCGAACACCAATTTGTACGGTGACATACCAATCAGAGTTTTGAATGTAGTGCGGTAGGCCCATAGTGCATCATCCAATTTTTTTGCCCAATCAGTCCGAGTAGCATTTACAGTTTTGGTCAAAACACTCTTGATTTCTCTATTTGACACCTCAACTTGACCACTTGTTTGTGGGTGATACGGAGTGGCAACCTTATGGTGTACGCCATATTTTTCCAGCAACTTTGCGAAGGCTCGATTGCAGAAGTGAGTTCCTCCATCACTAATGATCGTTCTTGGAGTTCCAAATCGGGTGAAGATATTTTTTATTAGAAAACCAGTAACTCCCTTTGCATCATTTGTTGGGAGTGCTACAACTTCTACCCATTTTGAGACATAGTCCACTGCTACGAGTATATACTTGTTGTTGTATGAGCTAACAAATGGTCCCATAAAGTCGATTCCCCATACATCAAATACTTCCACTTCTAGGATTGGGTTCATGGGAATCTCATGTCGACGAGAAATATCCCCCGTCCTTTGACACTCATCACAGATCTTTACCCAAAAGTGTGCATCTTTAAACAACGTCGGCCAATAAAAGCCCGACTCCAAAACTTTAGCAGCTGTCCTTACCTCTCCGAAATGACCTCCATAAAGCAAAGCATGACATGCCTGCAAAACAGAAGCTTGGTCTATCTCGGGAATACATTTCTGGATCATGTTATCAATACAAATCAGAAACAAATATGGTTTATCCCAGAAATACATGCGACAATCACTAAAAGAACTTTTTCTTCTGCACAGAAGATAAGTCATAAGGAACAATACCGCTTGCTAGGTAGCTTGCAATATCTGCATACCATGGTGCTACCTCAAGGCTCGTGGCCAACAGTTGTTCATCCGAGAAAGTCTCCATGATATCTTCCACCTCAACCTTCGTTTCTGCTCCTTCAAGCCTGGACAAGTGATCGACAACTTGGTTTTCCGTTCCTTTTCGATCACGAATTTCCAAGTCAAACTCTTACAGCAGTAGAACCCATCAAATCAGGCGCGACTTTGCTTCCTTTTTATCAATTAGGTACCTAAAAGCAGCATGGTCAGTATAAACAATTACCTTCGGGCCTATCAAGTAGGACCGAAATTTGTCAACTGCGAACACCACAGCTAGCATCTCTTTTTCTGTCACTGTGTAATTCAGTTGGGCACCATTCAATGTTCTACTTGCATAGTAGATTGGATGCATGATTTTATCTTTTCTCTGTCCAAGTACTTCTCCCACGGCATGGTCACTTGCATCATGCATCAGCTCAAATGGTTGCTCCTAGTCGGGTGCAACTATGATAGGTGCAGACACTAGCCTCTTCTTCAATCCTTCGAAAGCTACCCTGCAGTTATTAGAAAACACAAAAGGGTGATTTTTTTCAAGCAATTTACACAAAGGGTTAGCAATCTTGGAAAAATCTTTTATAAACCGCCTGTAAAAACCGGCGTGACCAAGGAAACTTCTTATTGCCTTGACGGAAGTGGGTGGTGGAAGCTTCTTTATTACATCAATCTTGGCATGGTCCACCTCAATGCCCTTACTTGACACTAGGTGTCCCAAGACTATACCTTCATGTACCATAAAATGTTATTTTTCCCAGTTTAGCACCAGATTAGTCTCCATACATCTCCGCAACACTCTTTACAGATTTCTAAGGCAATCATCAAAAGCATCTCCCACCACTAAGAAATCATCCATGAAAACCTCTATTATATCCTTTACCATATCTGTGAAGATGGCCATCATGCACCTTTGGAATGTAGCGGGTGCATTGCATAGGCCAAACGGCATTCTCCAAAAAGTGTAAATGCCATATGGACAGGTGAATGACGTTTTCTCTATATCCTCGGGGGCAATAGATATCTGGTTGTACCCTGAGTATCCATCCAAGAAGCAAAAATGGGACCTCCCTGCCAATCTATCTAGCATCTGATCAATGAACGGCAAGGGGAAATGATCTTTTCGGGTGGCCTTGTTTAATCTTCTGTAGTCCATGCAAATTCTCCATCCCGTGACTATTCTTGTTGAGATTAATTCATTGTTCTCATTTTGCACAACAGTCATCCCACCTTTCTTTGGCACACACTGAACTGGGCTAACCCAGTTGCTATCTGAGATGGGAAAAATAATTCTCGCATCTAACCACTTGATCACTTCTTTCTTTACAACTTCCTTCATGTTAGGGTTCAATCTTCTTTGATGTTCTATGGAAGGTTTGTGCCCATCTTCCAGTAGAATTTTATGCATGCAGAAGGCTGGGTTGATACCCTTAATGTCTGCAATAGTCCAACCAATTGCATTCTTGCACTCTTTCAACACCTGCAAAAGTTGTTCTACCTGCACATCTAACAAACCAAATGAGATAATAACATGTAAAGTCGAATTAGGTCCTAAGAAAGCATACCTGAGGTGAGATGGTAGCGGTTTCAACTTCAATTGTGGTGGTGCTTCGATCGATGGCTTGGCTGGAGGGTTCTTTCTTTCTTCCGAGTGTAAAGGCTCGAATTCGAGCTCTCTTTTCTAGTACCCTTGCCCTTGAAGAGCCAACACCCATTTCGCTAAATCCTCACCATTTACTTCTTCTAAGTTTATAAGGCAGGCTGTTAGAGGGTCTTTTGCATTAAGTGCCTCATCATCTTCCTCCATGATTACATCCACCGTGTCCAACAAAGCAATTTGCAAACTCAGTGGGTCGTCGCATAGACTTTTGCACATTAAATGTTATTTCTTCATTATTCAGCCTCATTTTCAGCTCCCCCATTTCACAATCAATCAGAGCTCTCCCTGTGGCTAAGAACGGCCTTCCCAAAATTATGGGAATCTCCTCATCAACCTTGCAGTCCAGAATGAAAAAATCTGCTGGAAACACGAATTTTCCAACTTGCACAAGTACATCGTCAAGTATACCTGATGGCCTTTTCACCGTTTGGTCAGCTAGCTGCAGTAACATAGATGTGGGCCTTGCTATTCCAATGCCTAACTTTTTATAGATAGACAATGGCATCAGATTTATACTTGCTCTCAAATCACACAATGTTTTGGCAAATGCATAGCTGCCTATGGTGCATGGAATTATAAAGCTTCCTGTCACGCCCCAAACTCGGGGAGTGCGACCGGCGCTCAACTGAATAAACCTGGTTGAGCAAGCCTGTTAGATTTTATTCTACCCAAATTCATCCCTGAATAAAGAGGAGATGTACTCCATTAATCAAATACTGAAAAGATTTCATTAACCACTTCCATTTCATTCCCATTAATAGCATCATTCAATATTTCCAAAATAGTATGAGTTTATAGATTTAATGAAAAACATGTTGCCAAATACCAATAGTTCTGATTCAATTCCCAACATCAAACACCACCAACAACCTGTCTACGGAGCATCTAAGTACAACTGAAGAGTAATATGGAAATACCGGCAACAAGGCCCCGGTTATACCTCAAAACACAGTACATGAGAAACAAAAGATACATGACCCCGAAATGAAGGGGGCTCACCAAGACAACTGAAGAGAGTGTACCACTATCACAGATCAATGCCGCCTGCTGTTAAACCACCTGCATCAATTAAAGATGCAGCGCCCCTGGCAAATGGGATGTTAGTATTGTCGAATAGTACTAGTATATAAAGCTAAAAGTCCTCTTTCAAAATAGAATGACCATATAAGAAAAGAAAAACCATAGAAACAGCAAGTCACAATCAACTATATCCAAATGCCCAATTGAAACATAACAATTTTCAAAATACAAAAATAATATATATTTTTGGTTGGGAGATCATTAGCACCGATATACCACCGTCTTTGTTAGCATGGAGTCCGATCATGCACGATCGGCTAGTCCATCTCCCCATGAACAATGTGGTTTGACATGTGATGCGAAAGAAAGTTGTTACCAAGAGTAGTACCACCATGTGTGCAACATGGCGTCCGATTTCCACCCGATCAGCTAGGCGACCTTCCCACATATGCCGTGTAGGTTGACTTTTCCAATTCACAGCTATTACTAGTTTTATCCCAATTAAGAGGAATAATCACAATTTCACCAATATTTCAATTTTATCCCAAATAAGGGGAATAATCACAATCCACCCCTACACCAGCACGTGTAGTTTCAGGTATGAGCCTTATGACCCACCCTTCCTCGGTTTTGCTAATGATACTCCCAAAAATATTTTTATTATTTGATTTGAACACAAATATAACATAAATACATTGTACTCACCTCAAAATCTTTCACATTTTATAAATTCTCATTAGTATTTCCAGTCACTCACAACAACAATATTTCCTTTGGCTCATTTGGCCATTCACAAAATTCTTTATTCCTAGCACGATGGCCGTATTTCATGTTCCACACTTTTACCTCTTTTATTTTCAAGGACACCATCAAATATCAACATACATAATATTTCAGAAATCATATACTTCAAATCCATTTGTAATGGGAACTTTAAACACAAAAGTTTCTTCCCAAAGAATGAGGCATACCAACCAGCAATAGAAACACATATCAAAATCATAAAAAATCAATACACCATTTATTCTTGAAATACTCTTCCCCAAAAATGATAATGTACAATTTCAACACCTAAGTATGTAAGAACTCGAATCACACTGATATATTTATAAAGCAAAGCATTAGTTAAAGCAGCCACTTATGGGCATGAATTGAGTACAAAAGTTTTTAGGCAATTCTATTTTCGAAATCATTTTTAAACAAGTGAGTCGAGGCTCATTTCATATTCTTTATCGCATCCTCTCATTTCATTTGCACTACTAGCCACAATCATAACTTAAATTCTTGGCACGTTGGCCACACTCTATATCCCCAATTCAATTATTTCATTTTCAAGCATTTTTTATAGATTATCAACAACAAGACATTTTCAATCAAGACTTTAGGTACACATATGAGCAATTTAGAGTCTTAAGCACATCGAGTTTTTCTCACCCAATTGGTATACTAGTTTTCATTTAAAACACAACTCAATGTCATAACATTTTAATATGCAAACCATACTTTGAACATATATCTTTCGACATAAGGATCATTCGGAATAGTCAAGTTTATAGGAGATAACCCGGAATATAGAAATTAGAAATCATTGAGCCAACCATACTTGAACTTACGGGAACATTATGGAATTCGATTCTAAGAGAGAAAGTTTAGCCAACATACCTTGTCCGAGCTTTCCTTAAGTTACTACAACGCCCCAACACTTCTAGCAATAACAATCTATAGAAAGATAGTGAAAATCGGTTAATATTTAGAAGGATTTCCATGATGTAACTCTCTTAGGAATTTTGTCAAACACCTAACATGCGAAATAGACCACAAGGCTCTACAATGGAGATCCTTTCATCCCTCAACCAATTTCAAAAAGAAACTACCCAAAATGGTTCATTAACCCCACACACTACAACTTTGAGTCACATGCATGGCTATTTATTAAAATGGGGTCGGATTGTAAAAACCCCAAAACCATGCGGCGCGGCGTGGGGCGCGGTAGTGAAAAATGTACCTAGAAATGAAACTTTGAAGTGCTCTGGAAATCCCCACAGGCGCGCCGCATGGGGCGGCGCGATAGTGACACATTCTGTCAGGTTTTGGTAATTTGGTCATAACTTCTTGTAGGAGTGTTCAAATGACTAACGGTTTGAAGAGTTAGAAACTAGACTCGAAGATATTTTATTTGATAGGTTGTTTATCACATAACTCCTTATATTTATATAGATATGATTGTCCAAAGTTTGGTCTTTTGCGTACTCATTTGCAACTTTAGTCTATCATGTAATTTTCCAACTTGACTTAGACTTAGGCCTCTCCTTAGAACCCACATGACTTATAATATGCCTCATACAGTTATTATCATATCCAATTGATATTCATCATATTAATAGCCCTCGTCTGCACACAAAATAATATAATTAGTACACATCAACTTCCTTAATAGCGCTTAACAACTTTAAAATTTTTTGGGGTGCTACACTTCCAGGGTCAGATAACTTCTCAGCTATAGGTCTTGACAAAACAGCACTACAAGTCCGTGTCAATGTGACAGTTGCCAAGTCTTGAAAGTCGAACTTAAAAGACATCAAGTCATTCATCATTTTTGCATAACCGGGCATCTCCCTCAAAGCATCAATTAGAGAAATGTTTACCTGAATTTGCTTTAGCATTTCCATGAATTTTTTGTACTGTTCATCCTTAAGATATTTGGCCAACCTCTACGAGAAGGGTGTCGGAGGTCGCTTCTTTCATGTAGCTTGAGTTAGATCCTGATCAGGCACTTTTTCTAATGCCTTCTCTTGCACTTTCTCAGTCTCCTCTACAACCTTTTTTTCTATGTTTATTTCCTCTTGGGCTGGTTGCACTCTTACTTCTGTTAGCTCAGTTGACTCATCTAACTCAACTGACACTGTCACAAGTGTTTCAGTTGACTGGCTCTCACGAGCAATTTCTTGCTCTAAATCAAGATCTCTACCATTTTTCAAGCTCACCGCCATAAGCTGATTCGGACCCTGCTCCTTCGGATTGACATGTGTGTCTGCAGGTAAAGTCCCTTGGGGACGATTATTCAGAGCCATAGATATCTGCCCTAATTGAATATCAGTGCCTTTTATCGCTGACTTATGTGCTTCCACCTTCTCTTGCATTTTTCCATTAGACCCAATCAGTTGCTGTAGCATTCCTTTAATTTCAGACAACCCATCATCTTGTCTCACTAGCTGTTGTTGTTGAGGTTGTTAATAAGCTAGCTGTTGATTTTGCTAACTGTATCCATGTTGCTTTTGGTAAGGTACTACTTGATCCTGTGGTCGCATAGCTCCAGGATTGTTGGTGTTATTGTATTGTTGATATGCTGGTCTATATTGCTGATTTTGCTGCCCCCAATTCTGACCACCTTGTCTCTTGCCTCTATAGTTGCCCACATAGTTCATGTTCTCTTGATAGTTCTGGTTTTCACTTTCACAACTCCATGAACACATGTATAGTTGGTTAATGCAAGGTGTACATAATCCCCCATTAGTCGTGTCAACTATATGTACCTGTTTCTGGCCTGATTCATCAATCTTCTTGGTGGGGATACTCATTTGTGTCATTAGAGTAGCCATATTCTCAACAATGGAATTGCTCGAGTCCAATGCTACTGAGTGAACTATATGGGTGATTGTAGTGTCTCTTGTCATCCAGCCTGAGTTTTGAGCCATTTTATCTAGAAGGACTTTACATTCTCTAAATGACTTGCTCAAAAATATTCCGCCTGCTGAAGCATCAACATTGGCTTTCAAATTATCCGTTAATCCCATGTAAAATTGCTGTCCCAACATCTGATCTGGAATGTCATGATGTGGATACTTAATCAGCTTACCTTTGAACCTCTCCCACATTTCTTGTAATGTTTCAGCTGGTTTCTGCCTGAAGCTCAATATTTCATCAACTTGCTTAATGGTCTTATTTGGTGGGTAAAACTTGTTCAAAACTGCTTGACTAATTCCTCCCAAGTCTGGGCTTCTCCTGTCACTGAAAATAGAAACAACAATAGTCTTATTGCTTCCGGTGTCACATTTGGTTGCCTTTGCATGACACAAATTGATAGAACATTTTTCAAATGCTGCTGAGTATGTTCAATGTAAGACCCGGAGAACAGTCCCTTGTTTTGTACCAGATATAGCATGTTGTTTGTGATTTGAAATGACTCCGCTTGTATCTGAGGGACTGTAATTGCAGTTGTCAAATTTTCAGCAGTGAGTTGTGCCCAATCATACAAAGCTGCTTCTGGCACAAGAGGTGCCACACCCTGATTATTGGGGTCATTCACATTGTTTTGATTATTTTGATTATCCAAAGCGTTACCCATGTCTGGTTTAATTTGTTCTCTTGGGTGATGATGTTGTTTGTCTTTCTTATTTGCACGATTTAATTCCTTGAAAGTTTTCTCAGGATCCGGTAATACTTCAAACAATTCACCAGTTCTTGAAGAGCTTCTAGGCATACACATATAATACACAAGGCCACAAACGTTAGAATTTCAATGTAATGAATAAAAATGGAGAAAATTGACTAAACTAAGAATCCTAACAATTCTTATAACTGTAATTAGTAACACTGTTGCTCCCCGGAAACGGAGACAAAATTTGATCATGCCCAACTATGCCTTATAAAAAGGACTAAGCGGTCGTTGCAAATATAATCCGGTTTACAAGTCCGGAGTCGAATTGCACAGGGAAATAACGTGTTAATTACAACTAATAGTTTTGCACGAATTCAAGTAATCAACCTTCAGAAATATTATAAAATAATTTGAGAGTTTACTAACTAAGATCAAAGTAATTAAAATGAAGTAATTTATAACTAACAAGACAAATATTGTAGACAAGATTTGGAAGTCTAAGGTTATGATTTCCCCTATTATCGGAATCTTCCCCGCTACGTCTCCGATAAATTCGCCTAAATATTTTCTACTGATCGTAAGTACTTTAAGTATCGTAGCTCTCTCTCGAGTAACTACTATAATTTACTAGACGTATTCTCTCGAACTACGCTAGCTGACACTAATTTACCGCTCACGACGATCGCACCAAGGCTTCGTTATCTCTAATCTCGCTTTTAAACCCTCCGTATCGATCTCTCAACTACGTTAGGAGTGGTGTTGTTCAACAACTACCTAAATGTGAACTCTCTCTCGAGCAATACACACACTAAATATGCACAGTTAATTGAGAGCTCTTCAATTAACAACAATGAAAATATAGTTGAATAAGTAGAGAAAAATTAAAGGAAAATCTATATTAAACACAGTAGAGAATCATCCTCCAATAGGTTCCATCAAACCTTAGATTAAAGAGTTTAGCTACTCATAAATACAACAACAATCGACATAATGTTTAAAAACATGAAACTACAAAGTAAAGAGATAAAGGAAGGGAAAACTCATTTTATTTCTTGCTCCACAGTGCATGGCAGCCTATTTCTTCTCCAAAATCATGTCCAACCCTAGAATAACTCATTTGGGGAGTATTTATTCAATCCCCAAGTCCAATTTCGGGTTTGGGTCTTTTAACCCGCGGCTTTTAATTACCGTGCTATAGACCTCGCGAAGCCTGGTCTATTGCACGGTCAACCTGGCTATAGACCTCGCGAAGCCTGGTTTATAGCGCGGTCGACCTGGCTATAGACCTCGTGAAGCCTGGTCTATAGCGCGGTCGACCTGGCTATAGACCTCACAAATATAGCACGGCCAACCTGGTTATAGACCTTGCAAAGCCTGGTGTGTAGCACGGTTTGGATACTTGATGCTTTTGTGCTCTTTTCTTGTATTTTTGTCCTCTTTTTGTGCAATTTTCATTTGATGAATCCTTCCAATGTTCCTACACATAAAACTAACACAATTTAGCTCAAATATCGCACAATAACTCATTAGACCAACAAAATATAGGGCGAGTAGTGTGTTAAAAGTAAAACATTTTGGCATCACATCAACCTACGTATGTTGCATGTTTTGTTGTCTTTTTAGGTCGAAAGATCTCTCAGAACATATGTTGTATGAGATATGTATCGCTTTTGTATCAGTTGTATTTATTAGTTTAATGATATTATATATTTTGTTGAAAAAAAAATCAATTAACACAAGTTATACAGAAAGGATACGTGATACACATAACTGATCACAAAATATAATACTATGCACGCTAATACAATCAAAAGCAATGTGGACACTATGTATTACATAAAGTACAGTATTATTTTCTATATCCCCTCCCTGCAATATCCTTCATAGCTA